TGGGTAAAATTTAAAATAGATGTGCTTGAAAATTTTTTAATTTTAAATATGGACCATACATTGGCCTGAAATTTATTTTCTCAAACCTGGCCAACCCATAATAATTTTGTAATTTCCCCAAGCCTGGAGATAGGTAAATCTCTGAAAACCATATTGTTGGGAAAATTTTCTCAAGCCTGCCAAAGGCCATAATAATTTTGTTAGTTGAGAACTGAAATAAAATATATAAAAGTCATAATTCATTTAAAAATAAAGTCAGAATATGAAAGTTGCATGGGACTTGGTTTTTTGATCAGGCCTGGCTATGACTGCAAGAAAATATTTTTAGGCCAATGTATAACCCTTATTTAAAATTCAAAAATGTTAAAGCATCTCTATTTTAAATTTTATCCAATATGATTTCCATCACAAATTTAAATTTTGATATTTCTAATACATGCTTACGGTATACATTGCAACAATTTTACCTCTTTTTCTCCTAAATTTTAATATTTATATAAAATTTATTAATAAAGTATATTTAGTACCATACACACAAACTTTACCCTTAAACGTCAGCTAGTATGTTAATAAATGGCAGAATTTTAAAAATATCCGCTATTAATTAATATATATCAGAGACCTGCAGGCCCGGCCCTAAACCCGGCCCAGGCCGTATTTTAAATTTTTTAAATATACCCGGGCCGGGCCTAAAAAATTTTTTTTAAACATATCCGGGCCGGGCCGGGCTTAAGATTGTTATACCCGGGCCGGGCCGGGCCTTAATATTTTTTATAAAAATTTTTACATTATGAGTTAATGGTTATAAGATTATATTATAGTTATGATTAATATAATATTGGGTGATGGTTAACACTACCTAACAACCCACAGATCGATCTAATTATTAATTTCCTGCAAATTTATTCAAAGTATTAATATATTTTTTTATAATTCATATCTAAATTTTTACAACATATTTTACCAAAACAATCAAATAAAGGAATATCTTAAATAAGCCCCAATATTCAAGTATTAATATATTTTTTTATAATTCATATCTAAATTTTTAGAATATATTTTACCAAAACAATCAAATAAAAGATTATCACTTCTTAAAGTTTGTAATTGATTTCTTAATATAGAGCATTTTTTAATTGAATTTGTTTTACACAAGTATCATTTTATTTCTTTTTCTCTGTCCCAAATTCAAGCAATTACGTATGTAGTCAGGGACAGATCGCAAAATGACGGAAAACTATATAAAAGATTATATTAAATTAAAAGAGGCTCAGGAAGTAAATGAAATACCATCGACCAGTCAAATTACGATTGTTGTTAAACAAACTGAATCGTTTTATGATAAATGGGGCGATGGTAATTCTGGTAATATGTCAATACCCGATGATGAATATTATAATTACATAAATAATAGATAAAACATTTAAGGTGGATAATTTGTTAGAGTGGTGGGCGGCTAATCCAAGCGAATTTCCAATTTTAGCAAAATTGGCAATTCCTGCTTTAAGTGCAAGCTTTGAGCAGAATTTTTCCACTACTGGGAGAATTCTTGAAGAAAGAAGAAGTAATCTTCAACCTGAAAAGGTAGATATGCTTCTCTTTCTTCATGATAATTTGTGAATTTTTAATATCTTTCTTGAGTATAGGGTTTCGTCAATCATGCTGGTTTTTTACTTTGCAAACTGTCAAATATTTATTGCATTTATTATATTTACCTTGAGTCATGAAAGTTTTTAATCCAACATTTTTCTTTATTTTTTTTTATTATATAATACAATAATCTTCTTTTGTTAAAAATTTATATTATAAAATAAATTATATTAATATTGTGCAATTAGATTATATTTTCAAAATACTATTTATTATACATGCATTTTTTTAAATAGCGATTTATTTTTATTTTATAAATTAAATAGTAAATTAAATACAATATATTATATTCTCAAAATATTTTCCATTTTTATAAATTAAATATTAGTTTTATTTTTTTTAAATGTAATATAAAATATAGTATATGACAAATATTATTACCATTTTTATGAATATTAGTTTTATTTTTATAAATGCAATATAAAATATAGTATATGCTCAAAATATCAATTTTTATAAATAACAGTTTTATAATTTTTATATATTCAAATATAATATTCTCAAAATATTAGCTTTTTACATGTATTTTTAAATAATAAGCGATAATACTCGCTGAAAAATATGGTAAAATACCTCATAGGTGAATTTTTGTATATACCACGTCGAATATAATTTTAAAAAATTCCGAGCCGGGCCTGAAATTTTTAAATCCGGGCCGGGCCGGGCCGTAAAAAATTTTTTAAAAAAATATCCGGGCCGGGCTTAAAAAATTTAAAACCGGGCCAGGCCGTGCAAATGGTACCTCTGCAGGTCTCTGATATATATATAGAAACAAAAATTTATATTAATTATTAATAATTTTCCCTCTTCTACATTTTGGAATATATAGGTCTTCATATTTCTAAAATAATTCTTTGCATTCTCCTATTACTCTCTCCATGCTCTATAATGAATAAACACATTTTTAATGGGATTAAAATAAGGGCTGTATAATGGTAAATATTTTATTGTATGCTCTCTCCTTTCTATCAATTCTCTAAGTGTATGGTTATGTAAAAATGGAACATTATCCATCAAAAAATCATATTACTTTCTTCAAAATGATTAAGTATTTTAACAAAGTTGCTAAAGTGTATAGCATTGCAGGGACATCAATTCAAATCTAAATATTACCGCAATCGTGAGAGCAGCAGTGATCCCTTGAAAATTTTTAATAGCCTTTTCATGTATTAGTGAATATCCATATAACTGTCTCGGTGATATTTAAAATCCACTCTCATAGATAAATTTTTCTTTCATATAGGCTACGTCCACAAACTAATTCGCGTATTTTTTGAGATTCTGCATATTCTCTTTTTTAAAACAACACCTAAAATAGTAACCTTATTGATATTTCTACATCATATTTTTCTTTAATCATCTCACATAACTTTTTTTTAAGGATAAAGTGAAATTCAAATATATATATTAATATTTTTCCTGTTCTTGATTTAATTTTTTGCGCGCAAGTAAGCCTCCTTTGGGTAAACTATATATTATTCCATTTAAACCAATGCATAAATCATATTGACCATTCTTTGGTCGATATATTTGTAGCATGCCTCCCGAATTCCCTCCTAAACAGTTAATTTCTAAAGATTTTGTACTAGTTTTATAACATTCCTCTTTGTAAAATCAAAAAACTTTCATATAAGATTTTTATTAATAAATATGTCCTATCTTGTTTGAATCAGATTGCCCTACTCTTTCTAACCGTTTTACTTGGTACTCACTTCCACCTAAACTTGAGCAATCCCAGCGAACCATACATTCCGCTAAGCATGTGGTTTTGAGAAACATTCCTTTGGACACTTGAAACGGTTTCTCATTCTTCTTTAAATAATAGATCAACATGGCATGTCTACTATCTATGTTAGATTGAATTATAGGCATACAATCAACAAGGGAACGCACATAAATTTACCGCATATCCCAATCCATTTCAGTCTAAATATTCTTCACAATTTCTGAGTTTTCTTAGTAATTGCCTTGTCCTATCCCTGTTTTAATTTCATTATTTACATCAATATCCATAGATTGATTATAATGTCCTTGTTTAGATTATAAAATTATCGATAATTATTGAATTTTCATGATTTTGGATAAGAGTAGCATTATTTAAGGTATACAGATTATCAGAGAAAATCTAATATTTATTATAAAATTGTTCATAGTTTCATATCATATGATAACTAAATTAAATTTATAACAAAACAATACCTCAAAATAGATTAAATCTTTCATTTTAATAAAAGAAAATAATAGGAATTTTTGATGATAAAAATCTTGGCCTACAGAAATATTTGCCAAAAAATATCAAAAAAAGGAACATCAGTCACGAGGTTTTAATAACATAATAAAATAATAATTTGTATTTATTATTTTTTAAAAATATTCAAAAACAAGTATTTTGAAAAATATCCGTTACGAGGTTTTGATGACTTGTTTTTTATTCGTTTTAAAATACGTGGTTATATTAGATGATAGCTGACTTATAGAACCCATTATTCGAAAATAACGCATTTTAAAAAAAATTCTATTTAAGTCTTGCAATGGTGACGACGATATATATGATTATGTTTTATTAATTTACATATCGTTTAGTATTATAGTTCAAATTTATTTATTTTTTAAAAAAAGCCAAACGATTAATTTAATTCAAAAAATTGTAGTAAGCTAATTTGATATGCAAAAATATTAATTCAAAAAACTGATTGCCAAAGAGAAATAAAAATCAAGTGAAATTTAAAATATAAAAATATAAGGAGAAAAAAATTATAAAATTCAAAAATTATTAAGGAAAAAAGGAAATTGTTTAACAAAAATAGAGAAGTGAAGAAAAATGACAGGCAAAATAAATAATTTATTTTTAAAAAGAAAAAAAAAGGATGATCAAAAATGAGAAAAGATTAAAAATGATTTAATCGCAAAAGGGTAGAAATAAAATAAAAGGGAAAAATAAAAAATTTAAGAAAAATTGATAAGAAATTTTTTTAAATATATTTTAAAAAATTTTTTGGAATTGAAATTTCCTTTTTTGATTAGGCCTCTTTTTTTGTTTGTCACTTTCCCTTTTTAGATTGAATATTTATCTTTTTGATCGGTTCCTAGGCTTTGGTACTTTCCCTAATTGATATTTTACATTTTTTGATCCAACCTTTTCCTTTTTGATCGGACCTTTTTCTTTTTGATTGACATTTTTCCCTTTTCGAGTAGGAAGCCATATTGTATCTTTGACCTTCAATCAGTGTTGAGTTGATTAAGAAATGTATCAAACAATTAATATTAATTTAAATATAACAAATCAAATGTAAATTTTAAGGCTAAAAATAATATTCCCTAGACATAATAAAATAAATTTTATCGTATACCCTGAAATTCATTTTGACCTCAGAAGGCAAGTTGAGTTTTTCCCTAATTCTTCTCCTAACAAAATTTTTTTAATTAGTATGATGTTAAAATAAAATAATTTATAACAATGTAATCAATATCTACTATCATAAATTAAAATAAGTTTACCCAATAATCATAATGCTCTTATCGTCAGAAGCATCATTTGCCCATAGAGAAATTTTTTTATTTTTCCCCCTCATTTGAATCACACAACCATTTATCATATCTCCAAGCTCATCAAATCCTTCTCCTATCATCAATAGTAACTATTTTTTAATTTAAATTATTAAACATTATATTATATATCACTTTTCCCGATAAGATTAAATTTTTTCATAAATCAATAAGTATATCATGTCAACTTAATACTTATGGAATTGATGTTCAAAAAATAATTTACTCCAATTAATTTTATAAAAGGGTATTGGAAAATTTTAAATTAAAAGTTTAGATAAGAAAAAAACATTAGATAAGAGTGGGGTTAGGTAAACCCCGAGGCTTGGCAAACCATTTAATCTCATTTTAAAATTAAATACACCAGAAGGTTAAAATTTTATCTTATTATAGTTTTTATTAGTTTATATCTATAGACAAAAAATCTTTTGAAATAATTAATTATTAAAAATTTTATTTAAGAAATAAAATATTAAAATTTTAAGATTTTTACATGACAGATTTTTAATTTTTATTATAATATACAATCATTGATATGTAATTTAAAATTTACAGCAAAGTTTAAACACTTTTCCATAATTTTGTAATATTCTGAGTATTTATTATGTCTAGATATTATTTAAATCATAAATAGTAAATTGCTAGCGGGACCTGCTAAATCATACACATCAATCCATTTGAATGATTTTTTTAGTAATTATTACATTATCTAATATGGTGCGAAAATACAAATCCAACAAAATTTATTAATAATGTAATTAGGCTATTAAAGTATATGAAAATTGTAAATCAACCAGGATTAATAAAACAGGTAAATTTATTTAATATTATCTGTCTTATTTTTAAAATATAAATCAATTTTATGTAAATATTTTTATTAGGGCTGTGCCGATCCACATATTTATCACTGATCCGATCCTATATTGGTTCAAAACCAATCATATATTTATATTGATTTTTCACCACCCCCCTTTGAACCAAATGCAATTAAGAAATCAATATTTTTTATGCAAAAATTAGAATTATGCATTTAATTTATTTTATATCTACAAAAATTTTAAAAGTTTACGGATATTGGTATTAAATGAATTTTTCATTATTCCTCCCCGTGAAATTAGAATTCCGTAATAATGCATTTTGCAAAATTACTTCATCTTTTGAAAAATATTTCCATAATTCAGATACCATATTTTAAAAAAATAAAACTTTGGGTGTTCCTTTCTATTTTTATAAAAAAAACTTTTAAAATACTATAAATCTATTTAAAAAATAAATAACATTTAAAGGAGGGGGGGGGGGGGGTGTTGTGCATTTGCAGTTTAAAAAAATAATTATTTAGAAAATATTATTAAAATATACATAAAATAAAAAAAGAAAAGAAAAGTAAAAAGATCGGATCGGATCGGGTTTTTTACAGGTATCGGTCCGATCCGATATTTAATACGGCACAGCCCTAATTTTTATTAAATGTAATTTGTAATTATTATGAAATACAGTATTATTGGGTTATCGCAACTTTTGGGGGGGGGGGAGAATTTTTTTGATAATATATCAATTTTTTAGTTAAGATATTTTAAAAAAGTTTTTTCTACAAATTTTTATTTTAAAAAAGCTTTTTCTACAAAATTTTGGATTAGGGGTAAAATATAGGAATTCTTAATTCCGTAGCGTATATATATGCGGGAGTGAGGGGGGTAGAAGAATTTTGCCTACAAATTTAATTTTTGATTTAAGATATTTTAAAGTTTTTTCACAAATATTTATTTAAGATATTTTAGAATAGTTTTTTCACAAATATTTATTTAAGATATTTTAAAAAGGTTTATCTACTATATTTAAAATATTTTAAAAAAGTTTTTTCTACAAAATTTTGTATTAGGGATAAAATCTAGGAATTCTTAATTCCGCAGCGTTTATATATGGGGGAGGAGTGGGGGGAGGTAGAATTTATCGGTGACATATGTCGAGAGACAAATGAAATATTTCTAACTGCTACAAGGGATCAAGATACAACACTACTAGTGGTTAAAGATAATGTAATGCAGATTCGACGATAATGACTGACTCGTGGTTAGGGTATGTAAATATATTTTTTCGGTAAATCAAAAGTGGTAATAAACTTAAATCTATTTATCTTAGATATAATAGGTTAGAACAAACCAATTATTTCCACTATCGAGTCAATCATTCGCAAAATTTTATTGATCCAAATGACAGATCAATCAGCACCCAAGAAGTCGAAAGGCTTTGGCGGGATCTAAAAGCTAACTATAAAAGGATAGGGATAACATTCATGAATATCTATTAGAATATAGATATTTTAGAAAATTTCGACTGTTAAATCGTTTTGATATTTTTATTCATTTTATAAATGACTATAAATTTCAATAATATATTTCAATTTAATGAATAAAATTGAGTTATTTAATACTATATTTCGTGTATAAATTTTAATACTATATTTCGAATCATTTAAACTTCAAAGGTGTGGTCTATTTTACCCCTATTAAATAAAACATATATAAAAGCTGCGGAATTAAAATTCCTATATTTTAGACCTAATACAAAATTTTGTAGAAAAAACTTTTTTAAAATATCTTAAATAAAAATTTGTAGAAAAACTTATTTAAATTAAATAAAAATTTGTAGAAAAATATCTTAAATAAAAAATTGATATATTAATTTCAAAAAAAAAACAAAAAAAAATATAAAAAAGTAACATTAAAAAAATAAACGAAAGTGGCGATAACCTATCAAACTTTATGAGACATTACAAGAGAGATCAAGAAAGTGCCACATTTTCTAGTGTAGGACAAAATAAACAGGATATTCAGAGGAAAAATAGGGAAAGATAAATAAATATCTGATCCAACCTATCCAAATTTTTTATTTCAATTAAAAAGATATAAATTTATTCTTCATTATTTTACATTGTTTTTAGATTAAAATATTAGGATTCCACATGGTAATAAATATGAGAAAAAATTTCCTAAATCTTGGAAAGACAATTCAATGGCTGGCCATGACAGGTACTATGGGATTATGTTAAGGAATCCTAATCTCTCCACAAGGTCCCCTGAGGCTAATAGTATGGCTAGGGCAACTGAATTTAATGAAGAAAATTTTATATACTTTTTTAATTTATATAAAGATTTATTTAATGATTTGTTAAGTAAATAATTCCACCAATATTTCTTTTTCCCAGGAAAAAATATCATGACTATTTTGTTTGTCCAAATATAAATTTATCTCTTAAAGCTGTATTCAAATATTCTCCGAACTCACAAGTCGTTGATAATTTCCGAAGATTTTGTATAGAGTATATTAATATTTTCTTATTTTTTTTTTATTATATTATAAAAATTATATCTCTCTACAAATATAGTAGGTTTGGGATCAAAAAATTTGACTAAAATATTATGTATTTCTAATACATCTTTGTTTCCCAGAATATCAGGAGCATATAAATTTACCAGTATTTTGTAAATAACATATCATATGATTGTTATTAAAAGTTATTTTTTTGTGATGATGTTAAAATTGGTTGTAGGGTTTTAAATTCTTTAAATGAGTCAGTCTTTGTAGCACATTGAATCCATTAGTTTTAATTGACTGTCATTTTTGTATTATCCTGAAATAATATTTGTAGTATCTTAATAATAATTAGCATCTTGTATTCATATATAAAAAGCAACTAAAAAATACTATATTTCATTTTAAATTCCACTATATATAAATATAATTATCTATTTTTACTGCCGATATTAAATATCGGATCGGATCGACACCGATATTTAGCGTTTTCAAAAAATAACGGTTCGGGCCGATACCTGAAAAAACAGATTCGATCCGATCTCTTTACTTTTTTTGTTATTTTATGTTATATATATTTATATAGTTTATTTTACATCATTATAATATTTCAAAAGATTTTTTATTTATTTTTATAAAAAATGAAAGATTCTAAATCTTTTTTTCTTTAAATTTAAATAATTTATAATTTATTTTTAAAACAATTACATGCACAACACCCCCTAAATTTTATCTATTTAAATTGAAAAACAAAAAGAAACTAGTAACAAATAGAATAATTAAATAGAGAGTAATCTAGATGACCTGCGATACTTAGACAAGAAATATTTAAAAGAATCTTTAAATCTAAACTGTATAATAACATATTTATCAATTTTATCTAGTATTGTTTGGTTTGGTTATGATTGACCCATTTGTTTGGGTGGTGTCTTATTATTTATCAAACCCAGCAAAAGGTTCGGTTCCTAATATTTTAAAAATGTTAATTTAATGTGTTCATTTAGTTAAATCTAATAACATAGATATTATTATTATACCCCATGTGTATCCACTTGACTATTGGACAATTAATTTAAATATTACAATTTCATCATTCATACCAACATATATATATAATAAAATAAAATGGATACATTATTAAATTTTTTTTTTTAATAATAAAAATTAAATTAAATGCATAATTCATTTTTTGCATAGATAATATGGATTTTTTAATAATTACATTTGGTTCAAAGGGGGTGGTAAAAAATCAATATAAATATCGAATCTGTTTTGAACCAATATCAGATCGAATCGGTGAAAAATATGTGGATTAGCAGAGCCCTAATTTTTACGTGTGTATTATATAAAAAATAAAAATAATAACAAATATTACAGTTCAGTAAAATGTTAATATATAACAATATAAGCTTTCTTTAGGTTAGGATGCTCTATTATCTAACATTATTTAATATTTCTTGATAATTGTTGACTAACACTATAGAGTGGCTATCATTCGAATAACAGAAAATAATTTTTTCATTTAAAGATTTCTAGGTCTATAGGTATTTTTTTCATAAATTTTTTGGTCAAATAGATATTTTTCCATTTGATTTATTGGATTGGGATCTATATAACAACACCCATCTCTACAATGGGTAATTCCATGACAAGTCGATCAGTGATTCGGCCGACCATCTCAAAAATAAGTGAAACTTGGCATGTTAGTTATTTATATTGTAAATGTTAATAAAATTCAAATTTTAGAGCTCCAGCTCAACCAGATCAAAAGATATACGCCTTCAAAGAAGGCGTAATGCGTGATTTCATTAAATCATGTTTTTTTTTAAAAAAATATTTAAGAGAGAGTTACAAATTATATATCATTTTATAGTCCTTAAATTTTTATATTGGAAAATATCGAAAAAAAAATTAAAAAATTCCATTCGTATAAAATAAAAAAATTAACAATGAGAAGGATTTTTTTGGGTGTTGATATTCTCTAAAAATGTTTATTACCTTTAAATTAAATTATTTAATAAAACATCTCGATAGCCATTTTTGTTTTTTTATTTTTTTTAAATATTTATTATTTTTATAAATAAAAAACTATAATATATATGGCGTTATATCAAAAAATTTTTATAATATAATATATTTAATAAAAATATGTATTATATTGGTATTAAAATTTAAAAAAATCGATTAATGGATACGGATATGGTTATTAGAACGATATATTTAAAATAAACATATTTTAAAATTTTATATACAAACAATTATAAAAAAAAATACCTCTTGTTTTAATCTTATCCCATAATGCGCTTATTAATAGTATTGCCTGAGGCGATAATTTGTAGGTATGTCCTGTCACTGTTATGGGATCTACTATAGAAGGTGGTGATGGTCCATGGGGATGTAAAAAGGAAATATATCTCCTCAGTAATTTCATTCCTTTTTAGTACTGTGACTATCCACCAAAAATCGTCATAAACACATGTTACGAATCCTTTAATATTGGCACATTAAAAATTATTGGCATTTGAGATATTGATAATTTGAAAGTCCCCTGCATATGTATATATTTTCAAAGGAAATACATCATGTATTTCCCAAGTTCCTGACATGGGGCGAGCTAAATTTTATCTTTCTCGTAGTTTAATCTCTTCTAAATTGTATTGTTTGCTTATATATGTAAAATTTACTGATGGCATGTTTTGTTTTGCAAACTGATATAAATGAACTGCTGTTAAAATGTGTCCAGAACTGGTGTGCGAAGGCTTGAACAGCTGTTAATCTTTTTAATGTTCCGTCAAGGCTGTCACATGGACCTTTTCTATGGGATGTAGCTGAAAAATGTCATTCAGCTGCTACACCAAAATCTGATTCAGATAACACCTATTTATAAATTTCTTCATGTTTTTATATTGCGCAGTGGATCAGAGCTGTAATATATTTTACTTGTTTTTTGCTGAATTGATTGGTCAAAAAATAAAAATAATAGATCTGCAACAGTGAAAGGATACACTCTATAAATTGTGGTCTCAGGAATTTCCATTAATAAGTGCAATAAGATAAAAAATAAGAGATATGTTTTTATAATAGTTTGAATATAAAATTTTAAAATATATATATTTTACAATATAGAATCCTAATAATCATCATATCTATATGGACTACCTGCTTACATATTGCCCCAGGACATCATATTGGTTATACTCAATTGATTTTTTAATTTTAACCCCAATACAATTCATATTTTTATTAAAAATATTATATTATAATAATTTTTGAATATAACGCCATCTATTGGCTATTGAGATTTTTATTAAATAGGTAATAAACATTTTTAGAGAATATCAACACCCAAAAAAAATCTCTTTTCCTAACAAATCTTAATTTTTTATTTTTACCATAAATAAGAAAACACTTGGAATTTTTCAATGTAAAATTTTAAAGGCTATAAAATGATATATAATTTGTAACTCTATCTTAAGCATTTTAAAAAAAAACAAGATTTAATGAAAGCATGCATTGCGCGATTTTTGACTTTGAAGGCATTTGGATCTGAGCTAGCAGTCTAAAATATTGAATTTACTAAAATATACAAAATAGATAACTATCATGCCAAGTTTTATCATTTTAAAGATGGTCATCCACTCGTTTTGGTGATCGATTTGATGTAAAATGACCCCTATTCTAAATAAATTCATGGAAAAAGTTATTAAAAATAACTGTTTGATTTTTATAATATGTAATATATATATGGTAGTGATATAAGCCCAACATCTGCCCCATATTTTTTTTCTAACTATTAGGCCCAATCCAGCCCAAAAATTTTTTTTATTTTTAATAGGTCAGCCCAAATCAATTCAGACTGGTCAGAGATATATAGATTTCCAATATATAACCCAAATTTGGCTAATTTATCAATTTAGTCAATATATGAAGTGTTGGACATTTTATCTTTTTGTTAAAAAATTCCAGACCTAATTTAATATAAAATTAAAAGCCACATCTTCACCCCGAAGGTGCCACTTATAGTATCTGGTGATAATTATAATAATTTCAAGTTAACAATCATATTTTTTAATTAGAAAATTAGACCTGTATTATTATGTATCTTTAAAAAACTAAAATTTCTAAGGCTAATATTTTATAGAAAAGTGGTTTATGAGTTATTAAATATATAAATTTGTATAAAAACTAAATATAACATATAAAACTAAAATATCATGTAATTAAAAATAATGAATGAATATATGATCAAAGGAGGAAAGATTATTTAAATTATTTTTTTTAGAAATATTATTCTAACAAAGTGATAAAAATTATGTAATGGTAGGTAATGAGTTCATGGCATAAAATAATTAACAATAAATTTAATTGGTTAAGATAAAATATTATATAAATATAACAAAAGATACATTTGTAAAAAAATGTGCATTTTATATCTGACACAAATAGTTGATAGCCCTTTCCTATAATATAATTTGGTACCTAAGTAATTAAAACATATGCTAGCATTAAAATTGTTACTAATATATTTTTATATATTGATAATATAAAACTATATTTAGCCAGTATTCATCCACTAGTGAATCATCATATCTATTAATTTCTAAAACCCAGTGACCTCCTGACATGTTTCTTTTATCTTCCCAAATAGGTTTAATTCCTGGCTAAATTATGTTTAAAATATTCAATCAAAATAACAATTTACCTTGAAAATATTATAATCACATTTATAATGCAGTTTGCTGGGCTGTTCAATATGATTATATATACTGTAGTTAAAAAAATATATAAATATGATAAGTTCGGTAATACGCCCAAAAATCTTCAACAGTATCGAAGGAAGTTATTTCTTTGACTCCATCTTCCCAGTCGTGTGTGGCTTTTTCATGCTTATAAAACCAAAATGTCCAAGAATTTTGAAGAGGATGTTTTTCTAAAAGCTGAGTTTTGTTATCTTTAGAAACAGTGGTAGATAACGGGGTTTCGATCTGCAAAGGTAAATTAATAAATATAATATAAACATATTAGTTAGGCTTACCATATTTTTTAAAAATAGAACGTCTTTCTAAATTTTAAATGAATCCTCTAAAAAGATTTAATAGTAAATTATGTTTTTTAAACATTAAATTAAATGACATATATCTTTATTTAAATCTTGTAATTATTTACAATTGTATATTTTATAAAATGAAAAATATATAATTAGTATAAAGAGTAAATGATTACAAAAAAAAAATCATAATAACAAAAGAAGAGAATATTGAGGCATAGATCATAAAATAATGTAAAATACAAAATAAATAAAAGCGGAAGCAGTTATTCAAAACCTCCTTCGCCTAATTATTAGGAGAGATCGAATTAATAAAACAAACATAATTACCATTAAGAATGGCTATTGCGATCCTCTGCCTTAAGTTAAAACCTTCGCGAGGTTCCCCAGAATTTTTTCTGATAAGGTGGCCAACGTCTTTAAAAAAGTTTTAGCCAAATTATCATATGTAGTTAAGGTGGAGCAAATGATGGGTATGAATATCTAATTTGAGGAATCAGCGCTGTATTTGCCGATCTTAAAATTTTGAGCTCTGTTCAGAGCATCCTTGTTAAAATTGGATAGGGAGTTAGTGTCCAGATAAGAGAAATCCCATATTAGAAACTTCCCTTGAGATCATGGAATACGTGTGACCCCATCAGGACGTCTACTATCGAAAAATAGGCCAGAAGACTCCATTGAGGTAGGAAAACCAGCTGACTTGAGGGCAAGAGATATCATTTATTGCACTTCAAGTGTCGAGTTTACCGACCGGGTTTACGATTGCAATGTAAAGGATGCAGCGCCATATTGTTATCAACAGTATGACATTTGCTGCATTTATATGGTAATGAAAAGGGAATGTTGAGCCTGATAGATAGAGCATAGCTGAGCTCATGGTTGTCCAATTCGAGTTTGAGATTGGTAGATGGAATAACATTTAAAAATTTATATCCCCGATCTTTGATAAGTTCAATAAATCTAGCATATGGTGAGAGTCTTGAAATAAGGTAATCAACGAAGTTTTTCACACGTGGTAAATCCCAAGGGAGATGATAGACTTACGCGAAATGGCGTATTAGCAAGAAATAAAAGTTATATTTTTTCTTATTTATACGCATTTTCCGAATCGATAAAAAAGTTACGAAAATTTAACGAATCATTTAAAATTTGTATTTATAATAAAATGGATGTATAAATAATATCGTGGACGAAATTTAGTAAACTATAAAGCAATAATTTAAAATACATAAATCTTTATATATCAGATTTTAGAATGTCACCAAAAAGTACTACCATAGTAATACCTTACTTATTTCCCAATATTTAGTAAACTATAAAGCAATATAAAAATTTAAAATACATAAATCTTTATATATCAGATTTTAGAATGTCACCAAAAAGTACTACCATAGTAATACCTTTTTAAAATACATAAATCTTCATATATCAGATTTTAGAATGTCACCAAAAAGTACTACCATAGTAATACCTTTTTAAAATACATAAATCTTTATATATCAGATTTTAGAATGTCACCAAAAAGTACTACCATAGTAATATCTTACTTATTTCCCAATATTTAGTAAACTATAAAGCAATATAAAAATTTAAAATACATAAATCTTTATAAACAGATTTTAGAATGTCACCAAAAAGTACTACCATAGTAATACTTTTTTAAAATACATAAATCTTTATATATCAGATTTTAGAATGTCACCAAAAAGTATTAACATAGTAATACCTTTTTAAAATACATAAATCTTTATATATCCGATTTTAGAATGTCACCAAAAAGTACTACCATAGTAATACCTTACTTATTTCCCAATATTTAGTAAACTATAAAGCAATATAAAAATTTAAAATACATAAATCTTTATATATCAGATTTTAGAATGTCACCAAAAAGTACTAACATAGTAATACCTTTTTAAAATACATAAATTTTTATATATCAGATTTTAGAATGTCACCAAAAAGTACTACCATAGTAATACCTTACTTATTTCCCAATATTTAGTAAACTATAAAGCAATATAAAAATTTAAATTACATAAATCTTAAGATGGCTATGAATTAGGAAATTTAGAATGGTTGAGTAAAGAATAAATCTTACCTTGTGCTTCAAATTTACAAATAATTACTCATTTTTTATATAAATTTTTTTATTGAATTTATGTTGAAATTTATAAATTATATTGTATGTCTTATTTTAAAGGATACCTGGGAACATTAAAGTTCTTACCTTGTGATGACTTATTCTACAAAATTGACACACAACAATCCCTAACAAGCTTCAAATCTACAAACAATTGCTCATTTTTTATATAATTTTTTTTATTGAATTTATGTTAAAAATTATAAATTATAATGTATGTTTTATTTTTAAGGTTACTTGGAAACATTAAAGATCTAACCTTGTGAGATGACTTATTCTATAAAATTGGCACACAACAATCCCTAGCAAGCTTCAAATTTACAAACAATTATTCATTTTTTATTTAAATTTTTTTATTGAATTTGTTGAAATTTATAAATTATATCTTTTGATATTATTTTTTTAAATAGAGTTTAAAAAATAAATTTCTCTTAATGAGATCCCATAATGTTCTTAATTAATTTACCTAAATTAATTTAACTTTAAAAATTTATGATTGAATATTTTTAATCATTTTATAAATGATTGTATTAACCAAAATAATATACTTCAATTTAATGAATAAAATTTATTTAATACTATATTTCGTGTATAAATTATAATACTATATTTAATTGCGTCATTTAATACTATATTTCGATTTAACCCTTCACTAGAAATGTTAAAAATCACTTAAACTTCAAAGGTGGGGTCTATTTTATCACTATAAAAAATTAAATTTGTAGGCAAAATTCTCCTAAAAATAACTTAAATATTTTACCACAAAAAAAATTAAATTTGTATGCAAAATCTCCTAAAAATAACTTAAATATTTTACCACAAAAAAAATTAAATTTGTAGGCAAAATTCACCTAAAATATGCGGAATTAATAATTCATATATTTTACCACAAAAAAATTAAATTTGTAGGAAAAATTCTCCAAAAAATAACTTAAATATTTTACCACAAAAAAAATTAAATTTGTATGCAAAATTCTCCTAAATATAACTTAAATATGCGCAATTAATAATTCCTATATTTTACCATAAAAAATTTATAGGTGAAAATAAAAAATTTTTAAAAAAACCATAAAAAAAATAAAAATAATATACCCCCCCCCCCCCCGACAGTGTTAACACTTTATTAAAACTTATGTGGCAATTTTTTTTATTTAAAAAAATGATATTCATGTTATATACTAAATTTTTTATATAGTCATTTTTGAGTTGATGATTTAAAAAAAAAGAGGATTAATTCAGTAAAAAAATCTCCAAATTTATTTTTAGAATGTTAAAATTGTATTAGCAATACAAATTAATCAAAGTAAAATAATAAATGGGATGATTATATGGTGTTGGTGTTGCAATGAAATGTATATAAAAATGGTATGATTAAAAAAGATATCTTTGTAGTCTATATATCTATTTATAATATGTTAAAATAGGATAAATAAATAAAAAATATGCATAAAAACAAGACAAATACAATCAACTAAAATACTTTTGGTAAAAATATAAAATATCAACATTTGTAAATCTTCAAAATCAATAACATTTACAAAATGGGATTCAGAATTGTTAATATAAATGTCTTGGTCAAATTTTTTTATATTTCCATCATCATATTTAAATGGTGGATACATTTGCCAGCAAAATGAAGCTCCATACCTAGCATACACCAATATAGGGGTATTGAGAAGTGTGGCAACACTTCGCAATTCAATATCCGTTGCCCATTCACCATTCTTACTTGCCTTTTCTATTATATACTGTTGCACATCATCTTCACACGTATTTTGACCTTGAGTATAATCTAATATATTTTTTATCATTATTTTTTGCAGCATCAACAAGACCATATGTGATCTAATCAAACCATAGGAGTCTTGTTTTCCTGTTATCTCCATACTTATACATCTAATTATTTTTTAAAAGATTTAATTATGTTACTGTTTCTAAAAACCTATCAATGTTTTAAAAAAATAATATTATGAATTAATATCGGATATAATCATTAAAATTTAAGGTAAAGAAAGAAACAAAACCATATTCTATGTATATTAGTAAAAAAAATACAACCAAAATTATTTTTAAATTAATTAGTTAATTTGTGATAATTTTCAAATTATATGCCAGAAGACTGTGCATCTAGCATGCTATACAACAGATGCTTCACATTATTAATCATATCATTAGGAATATTCCTTTTTTTGTAAGTAACTTCTCTATCCCAAGCTCTGGTTACATGTTTCCTACATAATTCCAATTGAACATGAAGGAATGCCCCAATGTAAGCTTTTCTCCCAGCACAATCTTTATCACTAACTATGACCTTTATATCTGTCCAAGCTGAATTCAGTTTTTTTTAAATTTGAAGCATTTGTAATGCTACATCAAATGACTCCGATTTGACAATCCATACACATATAATATGTGATCTATTATTTCCATCAATTGATACCAAAATATACAGGCATATGCTTATTATTTAATCGATATGTTGCATCCACACATATTACTTCAAGATATTTTGAAAAAATATACTGCATTTGATGAGTTTGATAATATATACCAATTAGATTCCCATCTACAGTATATAATTCCATATTAGCATCATTATCTTCTTTAACTTTATCTATCATTGTAATTAAATCATTATCATAAGTTTTTTTTGTATTTTTGTCTATATTATGCAAATCTCTTAGGGTTATAAACTTTCCTTCAGAAAATAGTTTATTTTTTATTTTGGATTTATTTCCTCCTGTAGTTATAGCTTCAGCTACAATATACTGTGCTTCATTAAGCTTTCTTTGTCTGGGTAATGATTGATATAAATTTTTATCTAAAATTAATCAAAAAATGCATTTTTCATTTGTTTTAAAAACATTATTTCATACTTTTATTTTATATATATTCTATCAAAATTTAATAAATT